GAGTAGAGTTTTAGGCATGAGTAGTTCTATCCTATTTCACTCCATTGTTCTTTCGCTGCAGACTGTTTACTGAGTATTCCACTCAAGTTGCACTCAGTAAAGTATGAAGAAATTCCAAACTTAATTGCGGAACTGATACTTGCACCGTTTGCTGAAAACGGTGCTCCTGTTCTTTTAAATGTTGCAGGAATATAAAGCAAGGCTGCATCAGCAGTGTGTGTCTGCTGAGCACGTAATGTAAGAAGTCATAGCCTTTGGTATGATCTGCTCATAATTAAATTAGACTTCTCAAATTTAGGGAGAAAGCATTCTTTTAAGAGATCAGTTGCCTCATCCACCCAAATTGGTATCCTTTACTTGGATGGATTTTGGCTGTGCAGGGTGTCAGAGAGCTGGGCCAGAAGACGCCAGGCTCAAAGCATGTGCTCTACCATTGAGCAATGGTCCTTTGACAAAAGATGAGGAAATGAGCCGAGGTGGCGCAGCAGTTAGAGTGCAGTACTGCAGGCCACTTTAGCTGACTGTGTTCAGCAGGTCAGCGGTTCAAATCTCACCGGCTCAAGGTTGACTCAGCCTTCCATCCTTCCGGGGTAGGTAAAATGAGGACCCAGATTGTTGGGGGCAATGTAAATATATATATACATTGCTTACTGGTGTACACCGCTTAGAGAGTGCTTGCACTTAAAGTAGTATATAAGTCTCATAAATAAATAAATAAATAAATAAATTCAACTTTAAAATGTGCACTTGGTAGCGAAGGCTTATTCCTATTTCTCTCTCTTTGGGTTTATTCACCCTCTCTCATCAATTCTGTGCTTTTTTCCTCACCTAATATAGCGACATAACAACTGTGGGCATTTGTATACCAGCCTCTTTCTGTGCATGTGTACAGATGTACAAAAACACTATAGAAGAAGTATTTCATTTTGCTAAGTATAAACTTAACTAACAACAGTTCATTTAGTGACCGTTTGAAGGTACAGCGGCACTGAAAAAAGTGTCTTATGTCTGTTTTTCCACACTTATGACCGTTGCAGCATCCCCATGGTCAAGTGGTCAGAATTCAACCACTTGGCAAACTGACTCATATTTATGACGGTTGCACTGTCCTGGGGTCATGTGATCAATTTTTGCGACCTTCTGACAGGCAAAGTCAACGGGGAAGATGCATTCACTTAACAACTGTGTTGCTAACTAAACAATTGTAGTAATTCACTTAACAACTGTGGCAAGAAATGTCGGAGAATGGGGCAAAACTCACTTAACAAATTTTGAACTCGATTGTGGTTGTAAGTCGAGGATTTCCTATAACAATAACCTAATAAAGAGAGGAGAGAAAGAGATATTGATCTGCTGTACATTGAGAGCGAATAAGGTGGTATTTATTGCATTTTGATATGGATTCAGGACTTAAAAAAAAAGATATGTGCCTTTCCTGTCAGACACCATACATAAAAGGATTAAGAATATATTTTATATAAAAATGAGAAGGTAGAAATCTGAACTTCATAAAAAAAAAAGAATCTGGATGTGATGATTTTTTTTATAGGAACAAAGCTCTGTTTCTGAAAGTATTAAAATGACATTTTCTAGTATATATGCATTTATAATGTGCATAATCATTAATATTTTAACTTCTTTTATATATAACTAAAACATTCATATAGATGTGGCACCAAATTCTTGTTTGATATAATCAGTGGAAACTTTATGTGGGCTTACTTCACTCCACTCTACTTGATGTTACTTTTATATTTTAAAATATAAGTATAGTTTACATTTCTGTTTCACAGTAAAACCTGCATCTTATATTGTATATTGTACTGTATAAGCTATATAAAATACTTGTTTACAGACCAGAACTGCAAAGTAATTACCAGCTTTAAAACAAAGTATTACAACTGCTCATTTGAGATATACAAAAATAAATTCAGAAAAATGTGAGGACAGGGAAGAAAATATCTTCATCATTTTCATGCCAGGCTCCAAGTACATTTAAATGAATTAATCCAGTATATCACAAATAAGAAACTCCTTGGATCAAGAATGTGTTTATATATCTTCATTCCTTTGAAAAATGGCATAAATTTTATAAAAATAATAGTAGATAAAAGCATTCTTGTCAAGATGCAGAATAAAAAACAAGAAGTACATGAAACATTTCAGTATTCTTTTAACTTGATTTATAGTATTTGAAACTGGTTCATGCTTGTATAAGCTGGTTAAAGCCTCTTTGATTTCCTTCCTTCTGAATAAATTCTTCTTGTTCATCTGAAAAAAAGAAAACAAAAAACTTAAACTCACTCCTTTTATGTTTGTTAGCACTGAGGAGAAAACAAGCACCTTTTGTTGATTTTGCGGCCTTGTCAGATTTACCAATTGGGCCAGGTGTTCACAGGTTTCACATTGTTCCAAAATTAGTTAAACTAATTTTAATCTTAATCATGCAACAACTTTATTGATCTCGGGCCGCAAAATTGTACGTAAGATTTTCCCAAAAACATTGGAAGGCTGTAATTTCTTTTTCTGCAGTGGTTCTATATTTGGCCTTCCCATGTTACTCCTTCCAAGTAAATGTTAGTTCAGTGGTGGTAAGCTGTGCTCCATGGAATCCTCTTTCTTGGAAATTTAACATAACATGGGGGTGGTGGGGAAGTTTGCTCTTTAGGAATGTTAGATGGATTTTAGAACAAAATCTCCAATAAGCTTGGCCATTAGAACTGCATCATGAAATATCCCATCTTTTATGGGGATTGAGATTAAATGCACAGAAATGTCTACTCAGATCATTCATTAGGGAAAGGGTTTCCTGAAAAATAAAATAAAAATCATGCATGGAATGGCCTTTCTTTTTTTAAAAAAAATCTGTATTTTGAGTGTCAAGACTATGCTTTCTGTAAGATGACAATAGCGCAATGTTGTATACTTTCCCAGCCTTTCCCCTGTTCTAGGGATATGTGATCATTGAACTATTTATATTTATTTTCAGAAAGAAGCTGAGAAAAAGTGCTATCTTTTTGCTGAAAACAAATCCTCTTTTTATTTTTTTAATATATTACAAGAAGTAGATAATTACAAACAAGCCCAAGTTCTTACTTTTCAGCCAGTGAACAAAATGTATTTTGACTGCACAGAGAATATGGCTGGGTCTGTTACGGATTATGATTTTCAGTATTGAGAAAAAGAATGTTTATGACCATTTCAGTACTATTCCATTCATTATTTCAGCGTAACATAGATTCTACAGAAAAGAATGCACAATCCCGCCTTTTACATTCACTCAATCTGAAAATTAAACCCTCACACCAGGGTCTTCAGATTAATGTTTAGTTTTTCTGAAACTATGACAAACTTTGTCCAACCGCCAGGAACATTTAACATAAATTCTCCCAGAGGAAAACAGCCATGAATATTGGAGAGAGAACGAGAGCCAGTTGGACAGAAATATAAACTAGGGAAAAGTGGAATATTCTCAGGAAGAAATAACATTTGGGACAACTGGAAAGTAGCCACTTTAAATTGCATAGGTTATATTTCACAATGAGTAAGATGGATAAAGGATTGGTGACTGAGGATTTTCTTGGAAGGCTCTTAATTGAAAGTCTGAACAGTTTTAGTAGGGAGGGTGGAGGAGACAGACTTATGTCAAGCTGAGCTCCTTGGAGAAAGGGTAGAATACAAAGGTGATAGATAATTTCATATGGCTTGCAATACGTGCCATATTAAGGGGTTACATTATAATGAAACAATAAATTACAAACCAAGAAAGCAGTTTGCACCTGGGATTCTTAAGCTCAGGAATTTTGCCTGGCAGATATACTCCACCACCTCTCATCACCTGTATTTTTTTTGTAATTGGGTGGCATAAAATATTGTGAAGTAAAGAAAAATACAACCAAATATTAAAAATATACAGTAAAGAAAGAACAAGAAAGAACAGATACAAGACAGCAAAATCCTTCAAAGCCTCTTCATATTAACAATAGATATATTCATGCAAGAGGCTTAGAGCTTTTTTTTTTCCCCTCCATGAATTGGTTTCTAATGTGAATGTAAACCTTCCATTGGCCAAAGTGTGCATTTGAATTACAAATGGCTCTCTTTCTGGTTTAAATATTCCACTTTGAGAAGGATCTGACATTCACATAAATAGCCTGTGAAAAGCACTCTAAGCCTCATGTGTGGAAGTTCCCACAGTCCCGCAATATTTTCAGGCATCCTGAAATGTATGAATGGCAATTCTGTAAAGGGTCAGTCCAGCTTCTTAAAACAATCCGGGATATTTTAGGAGTACCCAGAAAGAGTTACACTATTGACTTAAGTATGTATATTAAAACTGCAATACGGCAACCACAGTAAATTCAATAGATCTTCCTTATGGAGGTTAACAGGAGAGGCCCATCTCAAAAACCTTTAGTTGCCACACATGTAATAGTAGACCATGACTGTCAAGGCCACCTTTAATCTGAATTGCTTTGGCCTACTGATTAGAATCCATTGGTTAAAGATGCGTCAGAGATCTTTCAGCATGGCATGCGCACTATGGATTAGTTGCACATTTTTTGAAGAGTTTGCTAATGTTAAATGTACCCAAGCAAATATACTTACAGTCTTATATGATGTGCAGTTTAGATGTAGGACTGCCAACTTTTAGTCTCAGACAGAAGGAGTAAATTCTCTGAAGGAGGACTTTGAATCACAGAGGGTAGGGATATTTGTGCTTTGCCAACTAATTCTTTTCTTTGCTTCTTTGCCTTCCCTGTCATCTTCCACAATGGAGCAGCAGGCACAGCCAGCTTTCCCCTCTGATAAGCCAAATATAATCCTGAGTTCCATTAAAGGCTTCCAGTCAGGAACCAAATCTTAAAAAAGCAAGTAATCCTAGCATGTAGCAATTGTGTTGCAAGAAGGCAGGGTGACAATAGCTTTGGCAAACTGTAATTCTTCATAGTACCCCTAATAGCAAAGCAGTTTCCAATGTTTCCTTCTTTTTACGGCAGTCCCTTCTGCTGTCCCGATGATGCATCAGGTGAGTCGCACCCCAAGCAGCATCACTTTGTCCTGGCCACAGCCTGATCAGCCGAATGGAATCATCTTGGACTATCAACTGCGCTATTTTGACAAGGTAAACTGGTGAAAAAAGTCCAGAGTTAAAAATTAGCATTTGAGTTTGGGTTTCAGTTCCAGTTTTGCCATCTACAGCAAGTTTACGCAGTAAAATTTAATAATTACAAATGTTGTGGTTCCTAGTTCCAAGAAACTAGGACTGGTCCAGAAAAGTTGTATCTCACTTACTAAGTTCTCAGCAGCCAGATAAATCTATAGTTATTGGGTTCTTTTGGAGTAGGCATGGGACTTTAAAATCAATTTAGGATTCTAGAATAGACTTCCCCTAATTTTTCTTCTCCTGTTTAGGAAGTAGCATGCTACCCTTTTATGTTACTAAAACAGTTGGGAAGCTGCCACTACCACAGGATCTCATCTTGCATCATTCCAGAAATAAACAAAGCAAAAAGGACCCACATGGGAAGGATAAAATTCCGTAGCTTCTAGACCAGAAAAATTTCATTTCCTGAATGGGCCACTAGTGTGATGGAGAAGAGCAGCATTGTTATTATTGCCCACCAAATTTTCATTTCAGGGTGCTCATGTTACCAGGATGGGGTGGATAATAGTTATAACAAGAAAGAGTCTTAAGAGTTTATTGGAAGCCATGGGTTGTTCTGAAAGGATGAGTCAGGCAATCCATCCTTGCAACATTTTTTCCCCTCTCCCTCATGCAAAACATTTTTATTGTTCCTTTAGCTATCCATCCTCGAGAATAAAGGCAGAAGTAGTTGGTAATTTGAATTATTAGTTCAGGAGTTTGGGCAGAAAGGAACTTGACTAAATAACAAAAATGTGGATGCATCTGAGAAAAGACCATTGCTGAGCATTGCTGAGGTTGCTGAGGTTGAAGAAGTGGAAGTCTATTGATCAACCTGTATTGGTTCCTAGTCAGAAGATGAGGACACTTCATTCACCTTAACCAGCGAGACTAATATGGCCACCATCTCCAGTCTAAGCCCAGGAAAGATATATGCTTTCCAAGTACGAGCCCGGACAGCAGTGGGTTATGGGCCCTATAGTGGAAAGATGTATTTCCAGACTCTTGTAGGAGGTAAGTGACACATCTTCTGAGTTTCCAAACCTAGATTTTTCAATACTTCTCTCTCACGCTCATACTTGCTTGAACAATTTTCTCTTTTTATTACTCTTTTGTTCCTGCCTCATAAACTTTTTATAGCCTTCACATACCTTACAGGTTAACATATACCTCGATTCGTCATCTGCTTATGTATTTTCAAGTGTTGCATCATTTCAATATGTGGTGATGCTTAGGCATCTAAGACACAATCTAATGAGGAATTATCCTGGACAAGCTTCATCATTTCAATGTGACTTTTGGAGAAGAACTGTTTGGTCAGTTGTGACCATGTGAATTGCATATGTGTTTAGCCAGAGAGATAAAATCAATTGCAGGAGCTGTGTAGAAGTACTTTTGAAGAAAGGAAGGAAGAGCTTTGGCAACATTGACAATTAAAAGACCTGACTTTTTTTTAAATTTTAAAAATGAATGAAATAAAGTGGCATAATACAACTGAAGTGTGTATGTGCGTTAGAAACAGAAAGAAAGGCGGAGAGATTTGAAAAGTCTCTTATATTCTGCTAGATCAGTGATGGCGAACCTTTTAGAGACCAAGTGCCCAAAGTGCAACCCAAAACCCACTTATGCATCGTTGAGTGCCAGGTGGGAGTGGCCCATTGGGTGGGCATGGCTGCAGTGGTAACAGCAGACTGGGTGGGACTAAATCAATCAATTTCAACTTTGCAAGATTTTTTTTTCCCCGCGAGAAGTTGAAATTGACTGAGTGAACCTTTTTTTTTTTTTTGCACACAGCGGCGGAGGCCTAAAGTGAAAAGGTTTTATAAAATCCAGCTGAAGGCCTAGGACTGGGGCGACAGCACGCGTGCCCACAGAGAGGGCTCTGAGTGCCGCCTCTGGCACCTGTGCCAAAGGTTCACCACCACTGTGCTAGATGATAAAGCAAAACTGCATGGAGGTTTTGTTGCTCAGAGAAAACCTTACATGGAAAGGGGACCTGATGGAGTCAGCATAACTATGACCCTTTCTGTTCTACACACTCGGATGCTTCAGACAGGGGAAGCAGGGCAATTGGTGTCTGAAGCTCTTAACAACATTTTGAGAAAGCTTGTTCAAATGTTAAGACTGTATTAGAGGGTTTCATAATAATAAAGATTATATATAAGAAGACAACAGACTGCCTTCCTTTTTTAACAGGTGAGCGCTCTGAGATGGTTCAGGATCGGTTGCCTCTTATTGTAGGCTCGGCATTGGGTGGACTCGCCTTCATGGTAATTGCTGCCATTGCCATCCTGGCCATTGTCTTTAAAAGGTGGGTGTTCTGCTTTCACCCTCGTAAAGATATTGTTGATTCAACACAAAACTACTCCCAGGTAAGGGAGTTCAGCATGATTTTGGAAAGCTGCTTTCAAACAGGAATCCCATTATGTCCCAGAACTCTATCAGGAGAGACGGTCTGCTATTTTTTCCCATATTATATATATCATCTGCAGTCTTACATATTACCCAAGATCATTTGGAACCTAGATATGATATGTGTGGGAAAGAAGGCATACCATTCTTTTTTGACCTCATATTCAGACCTTGAGATAATTGGAGAAACATGACAAGGTTGGGATTAGGGTTACAGTTATAGAAGAGCGCCTTTGGTCAATATGTCCTCAATTGTAGACATACTATTTCTACTAATACGTTTAAAGGAAGACTGTAAACAAGGGATAAACAATATATAGGCTGCTTTTGGCAACCTATGTGCAGTTCCACAATGTCCAAGGTACAAACCTTTGAACCCTTTTTTTAAGGGGATGGGGAATGTTAAATAATGGCAATGATCTATTAAGCTTTGCTGGGCTTTAAAGCATCCAGAACATTCTTAAACATTACCCTTCCCTCCAAATGAGCTACATTTTTCAATTTTGGGGATAAAGGAATAAATAGATAAGCCTGTGGAAAATTTGTTGCTACTATAACCCCCCAGATCCATCCACTGATAATGTATGTTTGGCCAACCCCCACTTGCTTTGTGACATTATAATATCACCAATCATGTGACTCCAAGCCTGAAAAAGAAACATCTCCACTATAATTCAAAGGCAGGCAATCTCCAAGTTTAGTCTCCAATCTAATTTCTAACAGCCCCTCCAAGTAATCAGTTTAGATTTCTGTTAAGAGTTGTCTCACCTTTACCTAGCAATCTGCCACTTGGTGAGACAGAAGTTATCAAAAATAGAATAAATAGGGTGTGAAAAAAATAATGGGTTCCCTAGTCACTATTTGTTTCAAGCCTAATCACTATTAGCAGGTTTCCCCAAATAAATAAAAATCCCCATCTCTGTTATAGATCAGTTTAAAACTTCTTTAAAATAGCAATAAGTAAGCTATTTGAAAGTAGAGTCTTTTAGTCTTTAGTTCCAATCGTCATTCCAACTTCAACTGAAATCTGTTACTATTTTTTGTTTAATCACCAAATCCCAAAACTAGATATTCATGTATTCATGTAATCTAAAGGCTGTTAAAGCACATGAGTTCCAATCAAATCCATTTCACATCCTTACTTGGTACTCTGCCCAATGCATTGAAAATCTTGTTCAAAATGCAACTTTTAGAGATGTATCATAAACTCTGTCACCGAGTGAATAGTCATGGGCTCCCCTTTATAGCATCTAACTGAGAATATGGGCATAAATTATATTTATAAATGGATATGTGTTTCTGAATATCAGAACAAATGGTAAAAAGTGCACAAATTGAGCCTATGTTACATCTGATTATCATATAAATTCCCAATAGAATTACTGGTGTCACTTCACTGTTCAAGTGTCCATTCAGTAAAGAATATCATAAGAGCTCTGCCAGATCAGACTAACTGACATTATGTTTGTACTACATAGTTTAATTTATTATTCCTCTGTACTTCCTCCATCTTTATTGAAAACTGCTTTAGGATTTTATTAAAATTGCTTTTCAATAAAAATTCAAAGTATTTTGAATAAAGAAATATGTGACTTATTATTTCCAGTATTACAACAATGCTCCCCTAAACCAGTGGCATATTTTACGGTCTCAGCATTGGATGATCAAATGGTCATTTAGTGCAATTTTCTGCTAAAGCTGAAAAAGTATTATGCTGATATTTTATTGGCCCTTTTGTGAAGTATTTTATTTTGCATCCTACAATCAGTCAGTTGAAGTTCAGATTTAGCTAGCATAAAAAAAGAGAACAATCTTTTCTCTTTCTACTCTGTCCTCACCATGAGTAAGTTTCTACATTCCTTCTGATTCCTTTACATTGAAAGGAAGTTATATTTAATATGACCTACGCATAACCTATGAGCAGACATAGAATGATTAGATATTCATGATCTTCTTCCCCCTTCAAGTAAAATCCCACTATAGATTGCTTCTGTAACATCCAACATGATTTTGACTGCTCTTGCCTGCATCTTTTTCATAGCTCTAGAAGAGTCCCTTGGACCTGATGCATCTAACAAAATCATCCTATCTTAGTTTTCCTTTTATGTTTTCTTCTTCCACAGTAAGAGACGAGAAACTCCATACACAGATCGCCTACAACAGTACATAAGTACTCGGGGTAGGTGATTGAGAGTCTTCCCTTTCTTTAGCTGCCTCTTCTCTCCAGCTCATAGCTGATTCTGGAATCTGTGGTCTCCCTCGCAGGTCTTGGGGTCAAATATTACATTGATCCTTCTACCTATGAAGACCCCAATGAAGCTATTCGGGAATTTGCCAAGGAAATTGATGTATCTTTTGTCAAGATAGAGGAAGTCATTGGATCAGGTAATGAAGCAATATTTTCTGATTTAATCTCTGCTGTTTTATTTGCTCCTTAGCCCTATTTTTCAATACAGTTGTTCTCACTTGGAACCTCAAACATAGTTAAATCTCTCATTGTGACCCTGAAGTACACTCTTTTTTGTTGGGTTGCAACTTACCAATGTTGATAAGGGTCCACCCAGTTGTCAGATGCTCCTCCCATTTATCTGGTTTTATTTATCTAATAAAACTTCACTCAACTGGCATTACAGCATCTTCACCGTGCAGGCTTCAGCTTAGGTGTTAGAAGAATTAAAAATGGGTACATTCTAGGAAAAGGAGTGTGTAACAATGTGCTGTGCTTCAGTTCCAAAACAGAAAAGATGCTTCAAAATAGGTTGTATATGGTTGATGCTTCCTTAAAAAAGAGGCATATTTTTTTCTTTACTTTATTCTTTTTTTTCTTCCCATTTCTCTTTGTAATTTCCCTTTTTTGCATCTTCTACTCCTTCTTTTTATTCTTCTACTTTTCCAGTTTGTATTAATTTTTACTGTTGTACCTAAAATCTTTAACAAAACTATTATAAAAATGTGTCTTTTCCTCAGCTCGCATGTCTCAAGAGAATATATCTTTGAGGTAAGGAGGCACTGACAGCTTCGTGCCTGCTTCAAAGCTCTTGTTGCACCCTGCTGAGAGCTTGTTAATTTAACTGCATATTTTCCTGGGATTGCCCACCCCCATTGTAGCATTTTTTTCCTTTAGATCTGAAGCTGTGCACATCCCTAGAACTGTGCAACAATGAAGGAATGCATGGAATACTCTTTTCATGTAGACTTTCCCCATTATTTGAGAAGGGGCAGAATTTTATTTAGTTCACACCTGCTGGTGAAATAGGATGGGAAACATTTCCTCATGATGTAATCCCACACTAATGCAAAATATATATAATTACCAGAATTACAAAGGACAGAGCCAGTTGCAGAAAGAGAAAAGTAAGCAGTATTATATAAGAAAGGTGTAGAGGGATAAGAAATATCTCCCTGTAAAGGGTCTGGTATTCTTTTTGGTTAATTTGGTCTAATGGTTAAGGCACTAGGCTAGAAAACAGGAGACTCTGAGTTCAATTCTCACTTTAGCCATGAAAGCCAGCTAGGTGACCTTGGACCAGTCATTCTGAGCCAACTAACCACACAGGGTTTGTTGTTGTGGGGAAAATAGTAGGAGGAAGGTGTCTTGGATATGTTTGCTGCCTTGAATTATTTGTAAAAACAATAAAGACAGGATATAAATAAAAAATAAATAAAAAATTATGAAGTCTGAAGCTCAAGACTGAGCTCTTCTTATTCTTTGATCTTCTTCGCTTCCTGAATGGCAAAAGACTCCTAGTCTACTTTAGCTTCTGTTTTCTTTAAGACAGAGCTTTAGAGCATTGTTTTGTGTGTGTGTGTGTGTGTGTGTGTGTGTGTAGTTGTTTGCTTGTTTTTTTTTTTTTCCAGGCAAGTTGCTTCTTGAGTTCTTAGACATGTTTTTCAAACTTGGCAGCTTTAAGATAGGTGGACTTCAAATCTCAGAATTCTCCAGCCGTGCTGGTTGGGGAATTCTTGGAGTAGAAATCCACCCATCTTAAAATTGTCAAGCTTGATTAAAAAAAAACTTTCTCAAATAGAGCAGACCAAAGATTGTCTCAATTGTGAAAGTGTGTAGATTGTTCAGCTGAGCCTTGGAAGACTGAACCTCAATCAGTGCTCAGAACTTCAGAGTTTGTCAACATCTGTTTCAAAGATAAAAGAGGGAATTGCCTTGCCTGATTTGAACTTGGGGGCAATATAGTAACTTTACCAATGAAAATGAACTCCAGAAAGTGATGAAGTGCTTGGTTCTCAAACAGTAGAGCCCACAGTCTTACCTCCCCACTGCATTTAAATTATGCAAGCACCCGTTCCTCCTCTGCCTGATGTGGTGTCTTTTCCATCCCTTACTCCTGGCAGGAGAATTTGGAGAGGTGTGTTTTGGCCGCCTGAAGCCTCCAGGGAAGCGTGAATACATGGTGGCTATTAAAACCCTGAAGGCCGGCTACACTGATGAGCAGCGGCGGGAATTTCTAAGTGAAGCCAGCATCATGGGACAATTTGAGCATCCAAATGTCATCCGCCTTGAAGGTGTGGTCACCAAGAGCCGCCCCGTCATGATTGTCACCGAGTTCATGGAGAATGGTTCTCTGGATTCCTTCCTCCGGGTATGACCATCTCGGTTCCCTCTTTCCTTGCCTGCTTCACTTCCCCCCTTTCATTTTACATCTACTATGTTTATTACTATTTATTTATTTCAGTTCCTTTTTAGCATTTGTAAGGAATCATTATTATATTATTAAAAGTCATTCTATAATCATTAAAGTAATGCCCAAGCAGTATACTAAATAGAATAACACGAAATACAAGACATAGGGAAACGATTTCAGTAAAAATAATATGGCAGCATGCATCTCTATAATGAATTTTGATAAAATAATAATACCCCTGATATGGAGTAAGAGGGAGGCCTGAGCAAAAAAAAGTTTGTGGGCATTAGAGTTGGAGAAAAGAGTTACCGATATGCTGAGGGGAGAGGTAGGGGGGGGGCAGTCAAAGGCACAGAAAGGAAGGCAACAAACTAGAAGGAATAGTGTGGAACTGTTTTTAAATCATTATCTTTCTTTCTGATTGGCAGCTAGCCACACCACTCAGTGACATTAAATTGAAGGTGGGACTGATATACATGCTAATAATATAATATAATAATAATTATACTTGATCAGAGGACAAAAATCCCATAATCTAGTCTAAACATGTGGCTGACTATGTGACCAACTATAATAATATATTATCCAGAATTTTGTGTCTTTCGTATCAATAGTTGTTAACACTGGTGTATTGTGTGGTAAATGCTTGTCTGTTTGAATTTTAAAGTCCCAGAGCACTTTAGCTTCTTCGTTTTGTAGTCCTACTAGTTCTTGCACTGTAATACCTGGAGACAGCACATAGAATAAAAAGAATTGGACAAAATTCACAAAATACAAAGATCTGCAAATGGAAGTAGAATGGCAATGGCAAGAGAAAGCAAAGATGGTACCAATACTATTAGGCACTTTCAGTGCAATTGCAAAACACCTGGAGCACCAACTTGAATATCATCGGCACTGAAAAAAATCATTAATAGTCAAATGCAAAAAGTAGCTTTACCGGAACAACCTGCGACAAAACCTTTACACCATCAAAACAACATCTGCCTATCCCAGGTCCTTCAAAAAGACTTAATAAGTAGACAAAAATGACAAAACCAGTCTAAAAATGTGGCTGACTTACTAATTCAATTTAAAATAAATAATGCTGTAAGAATGTTGAAAAATGGTAAGGTTACAGTTGTAGATAGTTTACCTGGAGGAATGATAAAATTGAGGTGTGATTTGCTTGTGAAGTGGCTGAATGATTTGTGTAAAGCAGGTGCGAAGGCTGCATCTCTACTTGACATTTGGAAGAGTGCTAGTACGAATCCCCTATGCAAAGGGAAGAGAAACAAGAGCGAGTGTACAGAGTATGCTGGGTTTAATTTGTTAAATATGCTTGGGAAGGTGTTGGCAGAATTCTAATGAAGGGTTAGGAGAGGTAAAATTTGCATCCTTAGGTTTGAAAGGGAGAATGTTGACCAGATGTTTGCTCTTCAGCAAGTCACTGAGAAATATAGGAATGTGAAAATGTTTATTGTACATTTGATAATTTAGAGAAATGATAAATGAAATTTTGAGACAATTATGTGAGACTGGAATTGAAGGTTGGTTGTTGAATATAATAAGGGCAATATATAATGGAAGCATTATGTACTGTCCTTGGAAGCATCTGTAAGAACAAATGGTAGGCTTACAAACGGTTCAGCACGAAGTAGGGAATAAAACACAAAAAAGTACATGTTTCAATCTGTGAGTAATGTTATTTATGGATATACATATAATGAATGCTTATGGTGGCATTGGAGATGTGTTGATTGAGGATATAAACACTTATAGGCTTTTGTATGAAGTTTATGTTGGGCTGTATTTGTGTTATGATAAGATAAAATTATTTGCTATAAATGTTAAGAGTCTCTCCATGTGCTATCGTGTATTGCAAACCAAGGTAATTGTGTTTGACAAGGAAGGATGGAATGTTTTAGGTTATAGTAAATGGCAAAAATCTAGAAGAAGGAGATATATTAAATTAATATATATTAATGTATATTAAATATTGTCCAACATAGTACTTACTAAATGGGGAATTGAAAGGAGAAATTTGAAGAAAGATAATGGGTTGGAAGAAATGTTTTTTCTCCAAAAGTAAAAATGGTTGTGTATAAAAGTGTGCTTCTTCTCCTTTGTTATAAGAAAGTGAGAGTTAGTAATGTCAGAAGACAATAAAAGTAACATGAATACAGTAGGAACTAGAGCAAACAGGAGCTGAAAAACACATGGATTGAATACAAAAGCAAGTAACACATATGAAATAAGTGCGTAGGCGTGTTTGTATGAAGAGAACAAATAAAGATCAAATTGAAAAAGAAAAAAAGAAGGAAGACTGAATGGGTCAAGAAGCAGAATGAGAAATCATGATTGGATGGAGTATTGTGATCACCCCAAAGAAAGAGGCAAGAATTTTAAAATACAAAAGGCAACATACAAAGCAATGATTCACTGCTGTAAAAGCAATCATGGTTGGCAAGGCTGGCATGATATGGAGAAGTACAGTGCACGAATAATTTTGTTATATAAGCTAGGTTTAGCTTATTTTTCTTTCCTTTCTTGTTCAATGGATTTAATTTCTTTGACTTATTCTTCTTACTCCTTTTCTGCAGTTTGCATAATATTGCTTACTTTGAAAAGGGCTGGTGTGATGTTTATACAGACATCTACTCTAGAGTTCATATGGAAGCATAGAAGATATAATCTTCTATGTATTCTGGTGAATATATTCATTTAAAAATGAATGTATGTTTCTAAAGAAGCTGAACTCAAATTTTCTATGCTTGCATCTGTTGTGGCATTTTTATAGTTTTAAAATGTACTTTAATAATGGTAGGATCATTAACAAAAACACAGAAGTCAAAGGAATTGTTGAATAAAATTTCCAGATGTAGGGAAAGACAAAGCCAGTGTCTTACAATATTAAAGATTCAACAATACATAGTAGACATTCATAATGTGTTACCTTATTAAATTAATTAAGAATTATACAAAACAAACTTATCAAAATCATAGACAATGAATAACATAATAATTTGTTGTTTATCTGCAGTTTCAAAACAGAATAAATTAAGATGATTACTATGCATCCCTAATCATACTCTAATCTTACAAATTGGTTTTTTATCATAATAAATTATCCCAAATGTTTCTTAGACATTCATCCGGCAATGGATGCTTATTATTGCTTAAGTGTTTTGTTCTCCTTGATATAGTTGCCACAACAAGATCAAAATAAATGTTTTTCCTCTTGGGATGAAGCATATAAAGATATGCACACACAGTCACAGATACCAATTTAGTCATGGCTAAATTTGTTCCATCAACTTAAAAGGCACTACAAAATGAGCAATTTCCAAACCAAAAAGCATATTAGCATCTATTATATTTGTTGTTATCCTTCTGCACAGATTCCTAATCTCTGTATGGGTCTGTGCCCATACTACAGCTTTTACAGTATCATTAAATTTAGTACTATGATACACATATTTTCTTAACATTGACTAATATTCCCACATTCTAATGTGTTTTAGAACTATAAATGTATTTTATATTAAATTCACTATTATTCTGTTTTCAGTGTATTTTTTTGATCCTCACCTACACGAACCACCAGCTTTTATCTCTAGATGTTAATTATTTCTTAACTGAAAGCAGTAATCTCTATTCAAACATTATGTATACTGATTATTATTTGTCCCAATTATTTCAATAGGTAGCCAAATGTCCTTACAATAAAAATGGGGCAATAATACTTTAAAAGAGTATTTATACCATAATCTATTACAGAAGATAAATTCCTTAATTCTAGAGTATAAGGAGTGAAATTTTACTCAAATTATGCTTAATCCCATATAATTGATTCTTTATATGCATAATAGGCATTTATATAATGTTCATACAAATATTAATTGGAAATTTCCCAATAATTAACCGTTACTTACTGTACATGATCAGGAATTCATATCCTAGAAGAGAGATTTTTGACGTGATTATCAAAGTTTGCAAACTGCCATAGATTAAACTACTTTTTGTCTCAATAATATTTTTAAATGCAGTAGCTTTTGTGTATCGGAAGATGAATATTAAAAAGAGACACTTCACAGTAGGCAGTAGCTTTTTAGATAGCTATAGTTAGTGGAAAATGTTCCATTTACTTCTCTGTTTTTTAAATATAAATTAATATTAATTAAAATTAAATGACGCTAAATCTGATGAATAGGATACAGATTTAATTCTGATTACAATTAGAACCACTGAAATTGAGATATTTCATTTAAAATATGGTAGATAAAATTTAAGATTTAGAATTTTTTTTATTCAGACATTTTATTGATCTCACTGGGCCTACTATCTCTTATATCAAGAAACAATATTCCAAGTTCCCAAAATAATTTTTATAGCCTGAAGATCTGTTCTTGTAAGAAATCTAGTTCTACCAGTGATGGTTTTAGCCTCCTCCCCATGAAGGCCAAAGTGTGTCGATTGTGTTCATCAGTGAGTTGTGAAAACAAGAATGCTTTTTTTTTTTTTTGTTAATGGTGTGGAAACTCATTTCAAAATTCCATATTAATTCACGTGTTTTAGAATCTGCTAATGCACCTGAATCTGACTGCCAAATGAAGAGATGCTTTAATTGAATATGCTTTCATTTTACCACTTTAGGCAATCCAAATTACTTTTGCAATTACTCATTATTTAAAAATCCAATTGACAATAAAAGGATCCAGAATATTAATATTCCTATTCTCCTGTGATTTCAAAAGAAAATGAGTCCTCTGCTATTTTGAAAACCAGGATTGTCCCGGAGCATCAGCTTCTCATGTAAATAAGGGTCAAAAATTAGGCAACCATCCCAGCATCTTCCAAATGTGCTTTGCAGCTTTTAATGCAGGAAATATAATAGCAGGATAGAAACGCCTAATAAAGGGAGTGGGAAAATCAGACCAGGGTTAAGGAAAGAGTGAAATTGCAAATGCTGCTATTTCCAAAGTCCCCTTGGTTCATTCCACCCATGGTGGTCAGTGAGTGGGGGTGGCACCTCATTGTTTTTCTTCAATAACTCTTTTCTAAAACATTTAGAGATCATGTTTTGCATATGGACGTTGGTTTCAGAAGTAGCTTCATACTGGAGTTGCTAAAATGCTTTGGCTCTTGCTCAAGCACGTCTCTTCTCTGTTAGTAATTGAATCAGCCAAATTCTTTTTTCTGTGCAAGTCTACAAAAAATGCAGCTGCTCGAAGGAATCTACTCATTAAAGTTAATGCATGTTTTACCACAGCAGGAGGTTTTGTTGAATTGTATAGATTTGTATTTCGATTTTTTAAATGGTGTTTTAATACTTGGTACTGCCTAGAGCAGAGCTTTTCAACCTTTTTACCCATTGTACCACTTTTAGGATATGGCAACATCCAAGTACCACCAGTCGCCTAGCAAGGTGTCAAAAACTTGACCCCCCCCCAAAAGGAAAAAAGTGATGAAGTACAGGTAGTCCTCAACTTACAACAGTTCGCTTAGTGACTGTTCGAAGTTACAATGACACTGAAAAAAGTGCCCCCCAAGCCACAGCTGAGCAAGACGCCTGCCCGCCCGGTCGCACTCTTCCTCCTGTCTGAGGTTTTCATTGTTGTGAGCAGTGGGGGTGGGGGGGGGGGGTGTTTGGTTTTTATTTCCCCCCCCCCCCGTCTGCTGGCTGGTTGCAGCAGGTTTTGGTCACTTCACATGACCCTGGGACACGGTGATTGTCATAAATATGAATCAGTTGCCAAGCATCTGAATGTAAATCACAAGACCCTGGAGAGGCTGCAACATTCCAGTTGACTGGCGCTTCTTCTGGGCTCAGCAGAAGCACCAGGATCAGCGCTGAGCTCCAGCTGGAGCCTGGCACTGATCCTGGCACTTGCACTGAGCCCTGACAGCCCTGCAGCTCCAGACATCTCTCGCTTAGGCTTGTACGATGCTGCCACCGGCTCGGCTCATTCTCCTCCCCCGCTACCACTTTTCTAGGATGGTTGCGTACCACCTGCCAGGTGCCAATGTACCACAGGTGGTACCCGTACCACAGGTTGAAAAGCCCTGGCCTAGAGTCATTTGTTTTGGTGGCCTTATAAATCCAATGTGATGTTGGTGCTGTTGAAATGTGGTGTTCCTTCCAGGTTTCAATTACATTGAAAGCATTCAAAGCCCTTGTACTTACTTACTTGGGGATCGAAATTCTTAGACTCACGATTTCCTTTTGAGTGCCCCCTTTTTATTGAAGATATTAATTACTTCCAATATGTTTAATTTGACAACATTGCTAAACACACCAGGTTTTTAATCTCTTCAGACAACACCTCTGTAAAGTCTCCAAATTGCTTATCTTTTCACTGCTTGGAAGTTACGGATGCATTGATAAGCGCGGCCTCTTTAAGAACAGCACGGCTGGTACTAATGAGTGGACCAATGACCTGTTCAAGGGTGAGAGCGCAGAGGCGGCCAGTTATATAAACTAACTCCCAGATCCGGCGTTTTTACACTCTGATGATGTCGGTAGTTTGGCCGACAAAAGCTTAGTACTTTTTTAGATTAAACAGCTTTGGTTTAAGATTTTTATCCTGGTGTTCGGATACTTTTATTACTGCCACAATATGTGTATACCCGGGATTCTTGTTTTTAACGTTATTAAAGATGTATGCATGTATGTATGTATGTATGTATGTATTTCCAGGTCTTTAAGATTCCTGAAGATTGTTGTATTTATTTGTTAATATTTTTTCACTTCTAGCATCTTTATTCAGTTTCCACTGAAGTTAGTATGCCTGGTTTGCAGCTGTCACGCTCTAGAGATGGATCCCAAAATACTCTTTTCAAACAGAAAGCCCATCAAACAGAGACCAGGATTGAATTAATAGTCTGCTGTGATGAAGATTTTTTTTTAATATAGAAAAACAAAGAAGCTCTACCTGCAAAAGCCAAGCACAAATATTGCACTTTAGAAAGAACTAGATTGGAAATGGTTCATTCAGAAAAGCTAATAGCTTCTTGAGTCTTTTCCTATCACACATGTCAGGTGCAACTGAATCTTGCACCAAGCTGTGATTATTTAGTCTCATCTTATTCAGTCTGCATTGCGATTGTCATACTACTGATGCAGGTGAGAAATTAGAAAACATTTAAAGTAATATCTCATAGAAGCTCTTCTTTTTTGTTTGTAACTTACAGCAAAAGGAAGGTCAGTTCAGCATGTTGCAGCTAGTTGGCATGTTGCGGGGCATAGCAGCTGGCATGCGTTATCTCTCAGATATGAATTATGTTCACCGGGATTTGGCTGCCCGCAATATCCTGGTCAACAGCAACTTGGTTTGCAAAGTATCAGATTTTGGCTTGTCAAGATTCTTAGAAGACGATGCTTCAAACCCAACCTATACTGGGGCCTTGGTAAGTTCTTATACAAGAAAATACTTTTTCATGAATCTGTAATAATCAGGCAGGATTCTGAGTTTGCATTGTGCTACATTTAAGTGTTGCCTTATATGTATTTATCAAATTTACTTGCCACCCGTCTCATGGTTCAGGCAACTCTGAGCAGACCGTCTCTGGGTCTTCTGCTAAAGTTGTTGTCAGTCATCTAAATAAAGTGAAAAATATGAATGATTTCTCTTTATACTGAAGAATTAGGTACGTTTTAATGGTATTTGTTTTTTAATTTATACCCCACCTTTATTATTTTTATAAACAACTCAAGAGAGTGAACATAGTCTTTCTTTTGGTTATCGCAAGTTTTATATAATGAAGCTGCCATTGTTTTGGAATGCACTCTATAGGAATTTTAATTCTGCTACTAAAATCAGTAGGAATTTTTTTCTGCTCTTCTAAAACTATTAACTTACTTTTTAAAAAAAATCTAAACAGTGACTTAATTTCAGTGGACTTGTTTCGAACTGAGAGCTGTTTCATGCATACTGCTTTTCTGTTCCTTTAAAATTATAGGGTGGCAAGATTCCCATTCGTTGGACAGCTCCAGAGGCTATCCAGTACCGTAAATTTACATCCTCAAGTGATGTCTGGAGCTATGGCATTGTAATGTGGGAAGTCATGTCCTATGGAGAGAGACCCTACTGGGACATGTCCAATCAAGATGTAAGTTTTAATGTAGCCCAAACACTAAAAGAACATGCTTTGAACTAGGTATTTACTTTTTGGATAGCATTCATGTATATGCCAATGGGAGCATGTCCTTATGCCTTTCTTCCTTTGTTGTTAGGTAATCAATGCTATCGACCAGGATTATCGTCTTCCACCACCTCCGGACTGCCCTACTGTTTTGCACCTGCTGATGTTGGATTGTTGGCAGAAAGAACGGGTCCAGAGGCCGAAATTTGAGCAGATAGTCAATGCCCTAGACAAGATGATTCGCAAACCATCTGCTCTTAAAGCGACAGGCACAGGAAATAGCAGGTAGGAAGGGACCATCAGGGAAGTGTGTAATCCACAAATTGGAGAGGATGATAGAAAAGCTGTGTTTTGAAATGTAGAGATCAAGCATAACTTCTAGGTATTAACTTGGAATCTGATGTTTCCTCTGGACAAAGAAAACAATAATCAAAAAGTTCCTGATACCTGTTATACATGTAGAGTCAACATAAAGTATGCAAATTCTTCTTAAATATAATCCTGTGTTTAAATACCTTACAAGGGATAAAAATAGTGAAGAGAATCAAATGCACGGACACTGATAGCAAAAGGCTAGTAAATACAGGAGTAAATGTATTTGTCAGGATGGGAAATGTTTTGTAATAGTCGTGGCAGATGAGATCTGGATTTCCTTGGGGAAGAGGAGAATTCCTTGGATTTGAGGAAGAGTTTGGGAATCTAGGACCCCCTACCTACCATGGAGAAATCTGCTATTGTTTATAAGATCAACTGCAAAAACTGCGAAGGCAACTATGTGGGAGAAACAGCCAAACGCTTGAAAACCCGCCTCCACGAACACAAACTGGCCATAAAACGAGGCGAACCACACTCACAACTTTGGATGCATATGGCACAACAAGGCCATCAGTTTGACTTCAATAACACTCTTATCGTAGCCAGTGATGCCACGAAGGGAGGTTGGCTGCACACGGCTCCTAGACCGTGTTACTGGCCCTGATTGGCCAGCTGATAACCAAGATGTGTCTATAACGTTATGTTCTTTTCTTCGGATACCCTTCCCTATCCCTCCACTATTGGTCTTTGGAGGCGTTAGTAACCTTGCATCCCCTCCTCTTCCGATAATACCAACGCCTGCCGTATCGGGGGGAGGATTCAATCTGATGTTTTCTTGTGTCTTATAATGGGGATAGGGTTCCACTAACTGTGGGTTAATATCCCTTCCCAATTGTATACCTCTCTCCTCCTTTGTCGTGTCAACAGCTCTTATCTGAGTATGGTGTGCCTCAGCAATCATGTCTTGTAAGGAGGACTGGGGATGTAAGGAGGACTGGGGTGGGGAATAAAGACACATATAGACACATCTTTGTTATCAGCTGGCCAATCAGGGCCAGTAACACGGTCTAGGAGCCGTGCGCAAACGTCACTTGAACCTACTTAAACCACCTTTATTGTAATGGCCTTTTAGCCCTGACGATGCTGGGGAGTTCCCCCAGCGAAAGCTTGGCAACTTTTTAGTATAAGTATATTTTTAGTAAAGTATTCTTACTTCAACCCTCCCGGTGATCGTATTTTATTCTTTTATTCGTATGTATGTATGTATGTATGTATGTATGTATGTATGTATGTATATCGCCCCTATATAGGCAGACAACTAATTTTTTCCTTTCACCCATAGAAGCCAAAGCTTATCTCTTGTTTCTAAGTCTTCATCATCACATTCTTTCCCAAGTTTATATCCATGTTAGCTTGAAAAAAAGCAAATATTATAATAGTGATAGCCATAGCTACATTTTGCATTGCTCTAACATTATCCTACAACACATAATGAAAGTAAATTAGTATTATTTTTTCTTAATTGCTAAAAGAAGGAGTGCGACTCAAAGGGAAGAGACTTCATAAAAGGTGAGATAAGGTGGAAATACGAGTTATGTGACTCATAGCCTACTCTCAGCCCACTATGCAGTACAACAACGATTATTATTTTTCTCTATTAATAGAATTCTTGATTTCAGATTCTCTATTTATTAAATAAATAACTGTATGGTAGGCAGTTAAATTAGAACAATTCTTGAAGGCAATGGCTTGTGGGTTGAGCAAGGTGTGGGAGCTGATCACAGTATCTAATGAGCAAAGGTGAAAACATGAAATTGATAAAGAGAGGTCTGCCTCTGTTGGTGATGAGGTGATTGTGGAACCTTCTCAACAAAAGCTGATAATAATGCTGTAGAAATTCCCATGTTCCCATGTGTTTTTCCCAGCTTTATACAACTAAAATCTTGAGGTCAACAAAGAGGAGTTCCCTGGGGAAAGATGCAGCCAAGATTAGATGGATTCAGAAGTAAGAAAGGAAGTCCATCTTGTTGGCATGGAAACATTTTCCCATGGGTATCACAAACTTTCATCCAGACCCGGGAAAGAAGAGAGAAATCCTTAGTTGTACATAGGGGTTTTTTTTTTTTTAAAAAAAAAAAACAACTTTGAATGCATAAAGGTGCCTTTATTTTTGCCCAAAACTATCAGAGGAAGAAAAGCAAACATATTTTAGAAGAGGAATAACAGGAGTCTCCTTTAGTAACAGGGTTTACATTGCATTGAAAACCTCTTCAAGTATCAGGTGCACCCATAGAAAGCACAAATAAAACCTACCTAAGACCTCACGGCTGCTTGGCAGATGTATCTGGCAGAACTGAGGTTGGCAGCAATTCCCTGTAGTGTATTTTGCATGTTTCAAAAGTCACATTTTGGTCACCACGATGTAAAAAAGATGTTGAGACTCTAGAAAGAGTACAGAGAAGAGCAACAAAGATGATTAGGGGACTGGAGGCTAAAACATATAAGGAACGGTTGCTAGAATTGGGTATTTCTAGTTTAACGAAGAGAAGGACAAGGGGGGACATGATAGCAGTATTCCAATATCTCAGGGGCTGCCATAAAGAAGAGGGAATTAAGCTATTTTTCCAAAGCACCTGAAGGCAGGACAAGAAGCAACGGGTGGAAACTAATCAAGGAGAGAAGCAACCTAGAACTAAGGAGAAACTTCCTGACAGTTAGAACAATTAATCAGTGGAACAGCTTGCCTCCAGAAGCGGTAAATGCTCTTTAAGAAGAGACTGGACAGCCATTTGTCCGAAATGGTGTAGGGTTTCCTGCCCGAGCAGGGGGTTGGACTAGATGACCTCCAAGGTCCCTTCCAACTTTACTATTATTATTATTATTACATACTTTACCACTTCTCCTGAAGCATTTTGAATGGCTGATGCTGAACATATCTCAGTTTGTTCTTGTGCTCTTTGAAATATCCCTCTTCTTTTCTTCCTTATAGACCATCCCAACATCTACTAAGCAACTCGCCCCCAGACTTCCCTTCACTCTCCAATGCCCATGAATGGCTGGATGCCATTAAGATGGGACGTTACAAGGACAACTTTGACCAAGCTGGCCTGGCTACATTTGATGTCATCTCACGCATGACTTTAGAGTAAGAACTAGATCTCCTATTGTGTGGCAGTACGACTGAGTCTGCAGAGGAGCACAAGTTTGGCTGTCGTGGATATACCTGCATACTCTTTTGTGTTTTTACAATTACAGTATATCATTTGTATTTGTATACTTAAGAGAGAAGAGAATATGGGTTAAAATGTCCTCCAGTTCAGGGGTGATTTGAGGTATTTCTTCTTCAAGAGAATAGGAAGGAATGAGTCATCTTTCTCAAAAGAAGGATCATATCTTTCTGAACAGCTATTATTCACGAAAGGTGTTTCCAGGTGGACTATGTGTTCAGAGTTGGATACTGTTTCTCCCTAAGTGTGGGAAATGGGGAGCATATTTAGCAAGAAAGTATACTATGACAAGCCAGATAATTTTCATTTATCAAATGTCAGCACATAATGATTGCAATCTAAAGCCTGATGCCAAGATATGATAAATTTGCCTATAAAACAGTCCATTACAAATGTATAATATTATACTATAATATTATAACATTTTATAATTTATATTTATAAAATATATTATAAATTTAGTTGAATAAATTTAACTTCCATGTGATATATTTTTAATCTTTAAATCTAGCCTATTCAGAAGCCCTGAATTGCCACCTAAATATTACCTAAATCAAGGGTAGGCAGCTGTGGCTCTTTTATGACTCACTCAGGAATTCTGGGAGTTGAAGTCCACGAGTCATAAAAGAGCCACAGTTGCCTACCTCTGACCTAGATGATCTCACTTACTTTTCAAGTCCAGGTGAGGTTGGCCAGCTGCTGTTATTTGGCGAGGCCACACTTTGATGTACAGTAAGCACTAAGGAACTGTGAAGCTAAAATGTGTGATTTTGGAAATTCAGATAGAACCAGGATTCTGGGGAATAGTAATACAACAACATATAGAGGTCCACACATGACCCATCCCTGATTTAGAATATGTTTTTGCATTCTCTTGGTGAGCATTAGCTGTTGAGCTTCCAGTACTATTACTCAACATTTTATTGATTTATTTAAAACATTTATATAGCCCTGGTGCTCTCTCAGCTTGTTTGTTTTCTTGCAAACATTTCATTACCCAAACTAGATAACATCATCAGTGCTAGTCAGTACTACCACTGATGATGTTATCTAGTTAGGGTAGTGAAACATCTGCAAGAAAATAAGCAAGCTCAGAGAACACAAAAGACACCTCATTTCAATCCTGAGCTACAAATATCCTCCTTCACTGGTATTTATATAGCCACCTATCTTTCAGCCAAGTATGGGCAGCTCCCAATCAAAAATTAGAAGGCCTATAAAAACATTTTAAAAACTATAAAACATAACTGATCAAAACATAAAACATTAAAACAACAAACCCTTGTTAACATGCCATCATCTAAGTACCTTGCTAATATAACCTAAGTTCCCTTCTATGGAGCAGGTGCTGTGGTTAAGAATGTTTATATATATAACTGCGAAGTCGTGTCCGACCCATCGCGACAGGACAACATTCCTCCAGGTCTTCTTGTCCTCTACCATCTTCTGGAGTCCATTTAAGTTCACACCTACTGCTTCAGTGACTCCATCCAGCCATCTCATTCTCTGTCGTCCCCTTCTTCTATTGCCCTCAATCTTTCCCAGCATTAGGCCCTTCTCCAGTGAGTCTTTCCTTCTCATTAGGTGGCCAAAGTACTTGAGTTTCAACTTCAGGAGCTGGCCTTCTAAAGAGCAGTCGGGGTTGATCTCTTCTAGGACTGACCGGTTTGAACGCCTTGCAGTCCAAGGGATTCGCAGGAGTCTTCTCCAGCACCATAGTTCAAAGGCCTCAATTCTTTGGCGCTCAGCCTTTCTTATGTCCAACTTTCACAGCCATACATTGCAACTGGGAAAACCATGGCCTGGACTATACGCACTTTTGTTGGCAGGGTGATGTCTCTGCTTTTTAGTATGCTGTCTAGATTTGCCATAGCTTTCCTCCCCAGGAGCAAGCGTCTTTTAATTTCTTGGCTGCAGTCCCCCTCTGAGGTGATCTTGGAGCCCAGAAAAATAAAATCTGTCACTACCTCCATTTCTTCCCCATCTATTTGTCAGGAATTGAGAGGGCCGGATGCCATGATTTTGGTTTTCTTAATGTTGAGTTTCAAGCCAACTTTTGCACTATCCTTCTTCACCCGCATCAAGAGGCTCTTTAGTTCCTCTTCACTTTCTGCCATTAGAGTGGTATCATCTGCATATCTTAGGTTGTTGATATTTCTCCCGGCCATCTTAATTCCAACTTTTGATTCATCTAGCCCTGCCTTTCTCATGATGTGCTCTGCATATAAGTTAAATAGGCAGGGCGACAGTATACAGGCTTGCCGGACTCCTTTTCCAATTTTGAACCAATCAGTGGTTCCATGTCCAGTTCTCACTGTTGCTTCTTGACCCACATATAGGTTTCTCAAGAGACAAATAAGATGGTCTGGTATTCCCATAGCTTTAAGAACTTTATATGTATGTGTGTGTGTGTGTGTATATATATATATATATATATATATATATATATATATATATATATATATATCCATTTATATCTCTCTCTATATATGTATATATATATATCTCCATTTAGCTCAGCAGGGATATAATGTTATACATACATCTGTGTGTCACTTCCTTCAAAGATCCTGGACAGTTTACATCCTTTGAGAATATAACTGCACCATACAAGCACCTGCAAAGAGTAACATTAACTTAACCAATTCCTAATCTCCCCTAAAGTGTTGTCATCTGTTACAGGACATCCTTTGCTTGGAAGGCTCTGTAAAAGGCAGCTTTTATTGCTATCATGAATGATAATGGCAACAACAAAGGGCTTCCGAGGGCAAGCTATTTCAGAATGAGAAGCTTGAGTAAGAATGCTAGTCTCCTCGACTTACCCCTGACATCCCAGGGAGAGGAAACCTGCTAGTGCCCTCTCTGCCACTATGTATTTAGGCAAGCACACGTTTCACCTAGACAGGATGATCCTGGAAATAAGTGGCACAAAAAGCCTTATAGATAATTAACAGAATCTTGAATTGGGCCTAGAAGGTGACTGGCAATCAAAACAGCACCTGAAACCAAGATGTCCCTTTGCTGTACTAGTTTTCACTGGTCAACAAGTGGGCAGCCAAATGGTACCTGTGCTGTAATCCAGTCATTTTCAAAAGCAGCCCCATGTAACACAAGATGCAGTAATCTAAACAGGAGAGCCTTTGGGCCCAGGATATTAGCAATTTTCTGTGGGACTGGGGTGATCCTGCCTCCTGCTTTTCTCCTTCAGCTGCCAAGAACCACAGTGGGGATCTGGATAATACAATAACAGTAGCCATCCATAGTGCACCATATAAGTCATTTTTCCACAATAGCCATTACTCATTGTTGGAAGAAAAAGAGCATACCTCGCCAAATTTCTCTTAGAAGGCAATAGGCATTCCTACCCATGGAAGAGATGAAGATGGCAAAATGGTTACACTGCTCTGCCAGGCTACAGTGGCTTGAATAAGTTTGCAAGTTTTGACAAGGCCAAAGCCTTGGCTGAGATCTTCCTCTCTTTTCCTTTGCAGAGATATCCAGCGCATTGGCATCAGCCTGGTTGGTCATCAGAAGAAAATCCTCAACAGCATCCAACTCATGCGGGTCCACCTCAATCAGCTTGAACCTGTTGAGGTCTGACAAACTGAGAACAGTCCGTTCCCCTTAAAACACATGGAGAATCAAATGAGCATTTTGCTGTCGAAGAGAGGCAGAACAATCCATTTCAGGCATGGATGGGAGCACAGGAAACATTGCACTCCACTTCACAGACCAGAGAAAATTTATAGAGAGTCTTTGCTTGTTTTCTTTATTTTTTTATTATAACTTGAAACACTACAAATCCTGTGTCATTTAGAGATGGGTGGTATTGTACATTTGGGGTGGGGTGGGCTGATAGTACACAGGGTAGAGCTGAGAAGGTAGCTTTGGAATTGGAAATGCACTCACTGCCAATTCGATGCCAACGTATGGGATTGAACCCGTAACAGAAACAGACACCTCAGAAGATTCTACTTTGGACTAGCGGCCTGTAAATGGCAAGTTTTAAGCTGGAGCAAGCAAAGTTGAGTTTAATATAGTGTTGAAAAGACTGGGTTGCCAAAAGAGACCCCTTGAAAGCTTTTGTCCAGCTAGTGGAATTTGGTGATGAGAAGAGCATTGCACCAACTTTTTCTTTTGGGCAGTTTTGGTTAAACAGACACAAAGCAAGACAGTCTGAATGCTGTTTCAAGTAGTGCATTTTGAATGCTGTTCAAGTTGGCAGAGGTGGACAAATCCAAATCATGGGACAGAGTCTAGACCAAGGGTCTCTAACTTGTGGTCTAGGGGACTACTACCACTCTCCAAATCATTTTCTGTGTCGTGCAACAATGCTTAGCCCAGCAAGGTCAGGGCACTGAGCAGCAAGGAGAAGAAGAAGAACAGCTCAGCAGCTACTTCAGCCCCATGACCTCACAAGGTGTCCTTGTAGGCCAGGTTGCATAGAACATGCCCAAAGTCTCTCTTACAAGCAGCCCTTCTGAGACTTCCAGTTGCTCTCACATTGCACCATGGATGCCGTTTCTGTGGTGGTGCTAAATTCTGCTGGCGGGAGCAGCAAGGAGGCAAGGCATAGCCAGGAAAAGAGGTCAGGAGGTTGGGGCTGTGTGAGAGAAGAAAAGAGGCAGTTGAGAGAAGGGTTGCAGCTGTCTGCTCTATTGGAAGGCTCTGTCTGATGGGCAAAGCATGAGAAGGACAGAGGGCAAGCAAGCAAGATCACTGCCAGGATAGGAAAGGAAAGGAGAAGTGTGGGGAGGGGGGAAGACCAAAGGAAAGATGTCCCTCTTCAGCAAGGAGAGAGAAGAAAGAAGGGATACAGCTCTTGATGGGATGGCTTTCCTACTTTATATCATCCTAGGTATGATCATGAAGAAATATTGCATATCAGCGCAGTAATAAAAACCAAATATTGGTGTTCTAGTTAATGAAACAATTGCTGCCAGCTAAGTAGCCAAAGTGAAATAGCTGTTTTGCAGCACTGTTTTGCAAGTAGCTCTGTTTCACGGTACCTTTTATATTTAATAAATTTATGTTTAATGGCATAGCGCAATACTCTTCATTTTTTTACTTCCTAGATACTTTTGAATCACGGTATGAGAAGGCCGGAAGGGTGAGGCCCTCAAGCTAATGAACCAATCCCATGCAGCACTCATCCGAATTGAGTCTGAGCCCCTGGTCTACATGTACCACAGTTCACTTGAATGGGATTTGCACTGGATAACTTTGTTGTGTATTGGGCCCCATAGTATTTGGTAACAGCTTGCTGGGGGCATTTGGAGTGTTAGTCTTAGGACCCAAAACATTTTGGGCCTCTCGTGGATTGGTGTTGATCCTCTGATAGGATGTCAACAGCCTAGTTGAAGTAAGAGTAGGTAGCAGTACAGTATATCTGTCTCTAGGAAGATGAAAAGTCATTCTTTGCAATTTCTAATTGGATGTGGAGACCACAGAAACTGAAATAAAACATTTTACCAAAAATACGTTGACAAGACTTTCTTTGAATGTGGGATTACATTGATTTTCTGGGAGTTGAAAGAGAGCAGATGGTTTGCACAAGAAAATGATTGAGGCTCCGGTCCACATTGAGGCTGGATCCATTGAGAAACGGTGGATGTGAAGCAATATCTCCGACCATAAAGATAACCCAGATCTATTTGGGATGGGAGCAGCAGCAGTCATTAATTCATCAGGATGCTAAATCTCTATCTATCCTGATGCATTTCTCTGGAACCGAATCTCATTCTGGCAGAAAAGTTCCTGGAGGGTAGATGCGTATCTGAGAAAGGAAATCTCTTTTTCTGTCTCACTCACATATATGTGTGTGTGTGTGTGTGTGCGCACATACGCATGCACAGAAGATAGATGGCTCAAACATGGTGAAATCAGAATACACATATGACTGTCTCAAGTGAATGTTCCGATTTCCCACTTTTAGCTATACACTAGTGAATGCCAACTGTCATCTGTAAATAGTCATCTATTTTTCCTGAATCAATTGTACACATTCACTGACACATCTGACAACTTAGCAGCTTGTTAGTGCATTGCTGCATGTGATGTGAGTGGATTAGCTGAATTGTTCCTGGAATGACCTTGAGGTTATTTTTGAACTGCATCAAATAGATTGTAGTTAACCTTTCCTCTGCACAAAAATGAAAGGACTTGGGGGGAGAGAGGGAAAAAAGCACTTGGCTATGCAAATGGACATCAACTTGCTCACTTATATTTAGAATATTTACTTATATTTAGGTATATGCTAAAACTTTAATAAAAGTAGAGGATAATCCAAGAAACAATAGGGTTTACAGATATTAGTTCAGATAATATTTGCTATTATTAATGGGGACACCATAGTAATTTTCTGTGAAGTCTGCCAATTTGTAAAAATGGAAGCCACCATTCAGCCAGTGCTGGGTATGCTGAAATTTCACAGACAGACACACAAATACAAATGAAACTTGTCTGGTGCTGCAATACATTTATTCTGTAATTTGTGCACTACACACACACACAAACATACACCTATATGACATACATACATGGAAACATACATACGTGTGTAACTATATGTATATTATAAGCAATGATTCAGACACGGCACTTAGTTATTACCTTATTTTTTACTACTAATCACCTGGAAAAGATGCTGTGAATGAAGAGATTAGCATTTATTTAGAACAGGGCTTTTTAACCTTTTCACCCATTGTACCATTTTTAGGATATGGCAATATCCAAGTACCACCAGTCACCTAGCAAGGTGTCAAAAACTTGATGACCAAAAAGGAAAAGGAAAAAAGTGGTAAAGTACAGGTAGTCCTTGACTTACAACAGTTCGCTTAGTGACTGTTTGAAGTTACAATGGCACTGAAAAAAGTGCCTCCCAAGCCACCTGCCCGCCCGGCCGTGCTCTTCCTCCTGTCCGAGGTTTTTATTGTTGTGAGCATTTTGTTGAGGATTGGCAGCGGGGGTGGGTTGGGGGGTGCTTGGTTTTTATTCCCCCCATCAGCTGGGTGGTTGCAGCAGGTTTTGGTCACTTCACATGTCCCCGGGACACTGTGACCATCATAAATATGAATCAGTTGCTAAGCATCTGAATGTAAATCACAAGACTCTGGAGATGCTGCAACATTCCAGCTGATCGGTGCTTCTTCTGGGCTTAGCAGAAGTGCCAGGATCAGCGCCAAGCTCCAGCAGGAGCCTCGCGCTGATCCTGGTGCTTCTGCTTCCGATGAGCCCTGACAGCCCTGCAGTTCCAGCCATCTCTCGCTCAGGCTTGTGCAGTGCTGCCATCAGTTCAGCTCATTCCCCTCCCCCACTACCACTTTTCTAGGATGGTCGCGTACCACCTGCCAGGTGCCAATGTACCACAGGTGGTACCCGTACCACTGATTGAAAAGCCCTGATTTAGAAGACTTGATTAAGATCCCCTTCCCCAAACCAAGATCCCCTTATCTCTGCACACAACCTGCTACTAGATAGCAACTCCCATCCCCAGTGCCACAAAGGCAATATTATTAGCCTGGGAAAAAAAATCAGTGAATGTTGCCAGGATCATCCCTTAGTAACCAAAGTACAGAAATATTCAGTGAAGACTCCTGCTATTTTAGACATGTGATGTTTGTAGGCTGTCATAACATGACATTGTTAATGTAGCAGCCCACCACAAAGAAGTTAGCAGAACATGGATTGATTTGCAAAGGATTTATTTGTGAGTATATACATTACACAGCAGTACAAATCAAATGATTACTTCATCCTCAGGATTATGTTTTTATTCTACTAAACTTTTGCCCTGAGACATTTGTGCTATAACATCTGACTCTGTCAGTCATACTTTTTTTTTTTTCTCATGATGCTTTCCATTCTCTGTGATTAAATGGCCCAGGTAGATTTTCTTGCAAGAAATTTCTATACCTGCAAATGTAAAAACTTGGAAATAAATCCACTGGCTTGGGAGGAGTTGCAATAGGGAGCATGACTGATCTGCAGTGGGGAAAACTGGACATGATCACTGTGATGGACATTTTCCTAAACAAGACTTCAATTTACAATAGATAGCAAGGAACAACAGCAGCACCTCAGGAAATGACAGTCAAAATTGATTCCATGCTGGACAAAACTGCTTAATGTAAGCCCCTCATTCAAAAAAAGAAAAAAAAAAGCTGAGCTTGCATGGCAGTGCTCTCTTAAACATTTTGTTGACGTTTGTTGCTCTCTACCCTACAATTACCACTGAGTAACAATTTTGGAGCCATATTCTTTCTCGCCCCCCCCCCCATAAGCTCCTAAAACTTAATATGTTGTTACCATACTGTTGGAGAAAATGGAAGATTCTGAGCTGTTTGCCTTTCCTCATTCTTTTTTTCAGGTTTTATCCTAAGCTTTAGCATTTACCTTATTTTCCAGGCTAAGACACCCTCATCTTCTACAAAAAAGCAATTGGGACAATGCTGTAACAAAGCTTTCTGCTCTCTATTGGGTTGAATAGAGAGCAGAAAGCTTTGTCACAGTATCACCCCAATGCTCAGCCTTAGCTTTTTTGTAGAAGGGGAGGGAGTTTTAGCATGGAAAATAAGGTAAATGCTAAAGCTTAGGATAAACACTGAAAAAAAAAAGAATGAGGAAAGGCAAGGAGATATCCTTTAAAAAAAACAAAAAACAAATCAGCTCAGAATCTTCCATTTCCTCCAAGAGTATGGTAACATATTAATTTTATCACTCTCATAGGAGTGGGGAAGAAAGGAGTAAATGCTTGCTTCTACATATTAGTTGAGCACAAAATAGGGAACCTTAAATTTTCCAACAAAAAAGAGAGGCCCAGAGGAAAGGACATGTGGGGCAATAAGAAAGGGAATACAACATGTTGTTGGTGTGCTTTCTGCCAATAATTCCATTACACTTTCACTTTTCTCATGTCCATAAGCAGATTCCATGGAATGGATGGCTGTAGTCCTTAGCAAAACTGTATTCTTGGCTATTCAAAACCAGGCTACTGGGTTGAAATGAGGGATCCTTGGTGCTGAGCTTGCTTGTTTTCTTGCAAACATTTCATTACCCAAACTAGACAAAGATGATGTTACCTTGTTTGGATAATGAAACATCTGTAAGAAAACAAGCAAGCTCAGAGAGCACCAAGGACCCCTCATTTCAACCCTGAAGTACAAATATTCTCCTTTATTGGCAGGTTACATTTATTCCTAGTTGCAGAGTACTTTGTGCTAGCTAGAGAATCCAGATTGCAGTGGGAATGTATATATAATACTTGCGAGAGGGCATTCGCTCAATTCATGCTGATCATTTCCCACATCACAGCCGTAGCAGTGGGAATCAGGACACTCCTGGGAACATTGTTTTGATACACGATTATTCAACTCCAGAGCATGACTTTCTGGTTCTAAATATGGAACTGAGATCTGCATGTGGGAATTTGACATCTGTGGCTTATTGTACCATAGCAGCAACCTTTTTCAAATATGAGCATCGACTCTTTTACTGTTTACCGGAAAATATCTGGGAGACATCCACTTTCTTTTCTTCTCCAAGGACATAATTTTTGATTCAGAGACAGTCATGCAAAACAGTGTCTTTCATGTGGCCAGTGTTTGACCTGGTAATAATGTCCCATTGCATGAAAACCCAATCAAGCACTGAGTCACCATAGAATACCCCCCCCCATTTGCTATTCTATTTCTCTGATTGGGCTTGTTTATGGAACAAGTGGCAGAACAATACAAACAATCATCTTATCAAATGGCTGCATTCACAATGGCATGGCATCTCCAGACAGAAGACCATCTATGTTTCCCAGCATCAACAAAGAATAGTTTTACAGCAAGTTTAAAAACTTCCTTGAAGACCTAAGTATGAGAAAGGTGAACTACAAGTTTAGCTGTATATGCTTCATAAATGCATGTATACCTAAATGTTTTTTCATTGTAGTCTTTGCAATTCACAGACATGGAATTATGTGCCCTCTAGAAGCCCCATTTAGAAGCCTCTAGAGCAGCGTACACTGTGGCTAGACATGGAACATGGCATCCACTAAAGTCCTTGAATTACTCACATGCTCATTCCCAGGGCTTTTTTTGTCATAGAACGCCCAGAACGGAGTTCCGGCACCTTTTTTGGATGGAACCTTATAGGGTAGGCAAGGCGGGTTGTATGATGTGTGTGAGTTCTGGCACCCTTTTTTTATATATACAAAAAAAGCACTGCTCATTCCTAAACTCTTTGTCCTTTTGAAGTCAAAATACTTCACTTTTTTTCTTATTGTTTTAAATAATCTCCAAACCTTTTTTAAAAAATCCTTTAAATAGTTTATCGGGGCATTTTGTCATCCAGCAGATATCAGGTCCTTAGCTATATAGTCCCTTGGATTCCATTTCACATATGGCAGGGATATGGGAACATCTTTCAATTTGCAAGCCACATGAACCTTCTGAGATTTTTCATCATGATTAGATTGTCCAGGTTATATCAGAGTAGTCTAAGATATAAACACATAAAGCGACAAAACACCCATCATTCTTTCATACTTTACCTTTTGTATCTGGAGCATCCATCACTCCATCTTCATTCTGGCAGTTCAATTCAACAACCAGTTAGCTTCCTTGTCGAGCAACTCAGCCATACAGAAAAGTCACCTACAAATGAGAACTGTTTCTATGGATTATGGTCCACCACAACCATCTGTAATAAGGCTGGGATATTCCCAATCTTTTTTTTCTTGGAATGAACCACTGTCTTACCCAGAGACAAGAATGTGATTCCCTAATATGCCTTTCTGTCTGGAGAAATTGTTTCCACAAGGTCCCACAAGATCTTATGTTGAATTCTTATAAGACTTTTATAAGGGTTTCCTCAGTAATTAATAGAAATCTTTTTTCCAGGGCTTTTTTTCTGGAAACAGCAGTTTAAAGTCATGCAATCTTAATTTTCTCTTGCATACGAAACTACAAATCTAGGTTTTCTCTGAGGTAAAAATCGCTCGAGGTCACCTTCTCCTTTATTTTTTCATTGGAAATACTTTTTTCTAGCTTACTAATAAAAGAGTTTCATATCATATTTTTCCTCTGTATCAAGCCAAAAATAGAGTTCCCAGGTGCATGTATCATCGAAGCATTGATTAGCTACCAGTAACTGCAGTACTTTGAGCGGTCACCTGTGAAATCATAAAACCTACCTCCACATGCTACTTTGTTCCCTTTGATTCACACTGTCAGTTCTAGGAATGGAAGAGTTTTCAAGAATCCTGCCTTGTTGCATGAGATGCAAGTGAGGATAGGATGCCAGCCAAGGATATTGAAAGCTTGGTAAGAAGGCTGGGTACAGGCCACCACAGAAAATATTGCCAATCTCATCTTCCCTTGCCTGTATCCATATAGCGCAACACTGCTTCAGAAACAGCACCCAATGAGAGTAAATAGAATTACAGAATAACAGAATTGGAAGGGACCTTGGAGGTCTTCTAGTCCTACCCCCTGTTCAAATGGGACACCTTATACCATTTCAGGCAAATGGCTGTCCAAATCTCTTCTTAAAAACAATGTTGGAGCATCTACAACTTCTGGAGGCAGGTTTTATTGTTTTAACTGTCAGAAAATCTCTCCTTAGTTCTAGGTTGTTTCTCTCCTTGCTTAGTTTCCATCCATTGTTCTGCCTTCAGGTGCTTTGGAGAATAGATTGACCCACTCATCTTACCTATTGGAACATTGCTTCCATATTACTCCTAATCCTTCTTTTCATTAAGCTAGACATATCCAATTCCTGCAATCATTCTTCATATGTTTTACCCTCCAGCCCTCTAATAATCTTTGTTGCTCTTCTCTGTAGTCTTTCTAGTGCTTCAACATCCTTTTGACAGTTAAAATTAGATGCAATATTCCAGGTGTGGTCTTACCAAGGCATTATGAAAGTTCTTGGAATAAAAGATTCTGGGCTATGACTGTATGGTCCGTTTATCCAGGTTCCAGGAGACCTATCAGATTACCCAAGGTGAGCTGTTGAGTTACTATTAGCAAGGTACTCTCATTCCTTAAGTGACCAGCCTACAGTATGTACATACAGCCTAAAGGCTGCAAATCTGCAACCTACTATTTTAGACTTTGTACTTTATTCAAGGATAAAGAATTAAACAACAAAACAACCATTGTTTCCAGGACAAATAAACATAATTTATTAAATTATTTAATAGGTAGGTCAGTAAACTTTTATTACAGTCTTTGATCAGCATATTGGAATGTTTTGAATATGTAGTAGAAATGGACTGCAATGTCTTCTAACATTAGTTTGCAGTAAGAACAATGAAGGGATTGGGTGAAAAGTGAAGTTATACTCAACCAAGACTTAGGAAGATAAAGCCAAAATCCACAGCCTTGTATTCAATAAAACAGAAAAATGAGGTTTGGTAGTGATGCAGCTTGGTAGATAGGGCTTGATCGCTTCACACAATTCCTTGACCTTCTCATAAACATCATCCTCAAAGGCAGGTAAAAGTTACTTTTAGAATACCAAATTAGCTTATGCTAAGCAGCAGTGATCCATTTTCTTCTCCCGACAAGTTGAAAGTGATTTTCATAAGGGGTGGTGGTGCCACAGCACTTCTTGCCTCCAGGAAGCTGAGGAAAACTCACATGTGATGTTGTATCACTGAGTCACAATTTCCCTGCCTTGCTCCATTTGATGGCTGCTGTTTTTAAAGCGGCTGCCCTTCATAAGTGGAACTTGACAGTGCAAGAATGGTTACATATGGGAATGTAAAAAAGCACAGGATGACCAGAGGTTACAGCCTGTGTTCTTCTGCATACACTCACAAAGAGAGAAATACAAGGCATGAATATCTCCCATCTTGATTTTGCTAACTGCTATTCCCCCTTTGATAAACGTCTATCACTATTGGCATCAGTATCATAAAATGTATTCTTGTTGTATAACACAACTCAACTATTTTTCCACATCCTTTCTTGTTCTAATTCGGTGTACAGTATATGAAACATTGTGCTTGGCCAGTCCAGTCAGGATTTTAAATGGTAAAGGAGAACCCAAGCACTGACCAATCTTCTTTAAGTAACCATCCAGTCCCTAAGATTTGCAAGGACTTCTGGGAGGTCCTGAAAAAGGGTCTTTGTTCTTGGAGGAATCCAAGAGTTTTTTTTATATCTTGGGTCCTATAGAGCCATGGCAACAGTTCAACACTGATCCAGATTCATAACCATGCCTGAAGAATTTTTGGAGTTTCCACTCAAAATTTGGAGAGCTCCAAGTGATCAACAAACATTAACGCTAGAGAGGCTCATGGGCACAGAACCAATTGGGGAAACATGGTTTGATAGTAATGATAATAAAAAAAAGGAAAGAAAACTGGGGTAAAGAAAATGCAAAGTAATGTAATGAGCACTAAAATCCAGTAGAACAGAACTTCAATTTAACAGATCTCAGTATATTAAACTTGCATGTAACAAACCAAATCTCTGTGGCGATTTACATCATTTGTTGTCCTACAAACTTGTCACACATTTGTCACACAAATCACACAAATGACATCAATTGCATCAATATATATCATGTGTTTCACGACTTCATAATGCAAATTAAGTAAATTGTTGTGATAATATAGAGGAGGTTCTTGACTTGTGACCAATTACAAGATTATTCAAAATTACAACAGACCTACTTACAATCTGGTTTCAAGGTTCTGATGTCCTGCACCCCCTGTGGTCATGTGATCATATTTTGGGCACTCAACAACCAGCCTGCATTTATGACCATTTGCCCTGTCCTTGGTCATGTGACCAATATTTATGATGATGATTATTTTTTTACTGGAAACCAGTGTTTACTTCCCATTTCTAGCAAAAAAAACACACCACCCACTGGGGACAAGAGAGATTTGCTTAACGACCACTGCATCCACTTAATGACTGTGTTTATATTAATGGTCTTTTTTAAAAAAGGTTGTAAAATCAGGTAAGGTCATATGTCATGCCAAACAAGTGGCATGACTTACAACTGTAATTCCACCCTCAGTTATGGTTATAAGTTGATGACTCCCTGCACTGGCATAGTTAGTGTACTCTTGTGAATAACAGACACTGCCTGCCCCATTTGTTCAATTAAAACAAGTTTTCCTACACATAATACATAATTCAAAACACCCACAAAATACGTGTTGATCCAGGAATCTTCTTGAATTGTCTACTAAAATTCTATTTATAATTTCCCATATGAATCTATATACTACCAAAACTCTTTATGTCTGTGTCCCTTAATTGGGCAAAACAGTGCCTTATAGAACAACCATTTTTGAACCAAGTTACCTCAAAAGGGCTAACTTGTAGAATGTGTGCAAAGTCCAGGACCCGTGACTCCTGTGGGCCTGAAATTTGGCAAATTAATGGTAATTTCTGTGCTGCCACACCACTGCCCAGAGGTTTAGTAGACTGGTCCTGCCCTAACCCTCTGGAGGCTGGGTAGACGGGCCTCGCCTTTGGCCCCTGGGGATCAGGTAATCCAGTACCACTATAGCCCTCCAGGGGCTGTATAGAACAGTCCCATCATTAACAGCCAGAGAGCAGTCAGCCACAAACAAGCTAGGAGAAAAATTGGAAGGCACTCCTACTCCTAATGTATTTTGCCCTTGATCATTCTGTTTAGGCAAAGAAATATCTCTGAAACAATGACCCAATGGGTTGTCTTGTATAAGGTAAAATGTGGCTGTACCTTATACCTCTCAGACCAATTTCCCAGTTTCAAATTCACAGCCAGGCATTTGGAGTCTTTACTTGTTCCTTGGAATGCAAATATTTAACACTGAACATCCACATTGGCATTCATCTTTATTAGTGTTTGACTTCCATGTATAATATTATGTGCTACATTTAGCTCACCTTTCTTCCAAGAACTCAAGTTAGCCTATGTGAGGATCTCCCTTGATTTTATCCCCACAATGGCAAACCTATGAGGTAGAGTAGACTGACAGAGAGCAGAGGGATTAGCCTAAAGTTGCTGAGACTGATCTTGGTTGTGGGACTCCCTAGTCCTAATCTAGCTTTTTAACCACTATATTACACTGTCCTGCTTCTAAGTATGAGTGAGTGTCAGCTGGTGGGAACAATTATATACCATCATTCTTTTTGATCAATTGTTCTGAGAAGCATGAAGATATACTCCATACATCTATCTCAGAAGCACTATGTGCAGTGTTGCGAGAATGCTGAGACTGTCTTTGTTGTATTTGAACTGAAACATTGCTTTGTTAAATGTTGATTTCTTTAACCCAGTTTATCTTACTTTCCACAGAGGCACCTGGGCCTCTGCATTCACACGTGATAGACCTCCTCCTCCTCCTCTTCCATGGCATGATTGGTATATCCCTGCTTGTGGACAAGTGTACTCTGCCGTAAGATGTTCCAGTGACTATTAGTTTTTGCTGTATTTGAAGGCGCACCAACATACTTCTGCTGTTTTGACAAAATTGTTCGACCATCTTTTCCCTCAGCTGCTACATCTTGTGTCTGTTTCCTCTGCAGGTACTTCTCAAAGGCATCTCTTCGGTAAGGCCCGTTTGTTTTTACAGACATCTGCCTTATTTCACAACGATCTTCAACCCTGCATGCAAAATGTTAACAAGAGTAGTGAAGAACAGGGTAGAACTGGTTCATGCATACCCAGCCTCTCCAAAGGATGTTAATCAAGGTCTTTGGAAGAAAGCTTGGCATAATATTGCATTTATACAGTATTAGCATAATTCCTATCAGGCCAGGAGCCAGAAATGGTTGAAGATCAGAGGCTGCTAAAAATACAGTGGGAAAGAAGACAATGATTTATTAGTACAAAATGAAAAGATCCTAAATACAAACTCTTTAATATGCTTATACTTCATTATTCCCTTTATTAATACTAGGAAATGTCTTTATATGCTTTAAAAATGAGCTACTTTTAGGAGGTTTTGACTGCCTACTAAAATTCTATGATCTTTGCCTTAAGGAAAATATAATACATTTCTCGCATATTTAATTAACCTGTTAATAAAGTCACCTGCCAAAGGAAAATCAATGCGAACTATTCCACCATCTCTTTTCCCTTATCCAATACCCTTGAGAATCATAGTTTTGTTATAACTTGGGTATCACTTTGTATATCAGCAGGGCAAATTGAAAGAAGAATCCAATTTACCAAGCATAATTAATTAGAAATTTATCTAGCTTAAATTGCTCCTCACATCCTTTTCTGGACTTTCTGCTTATCCAAAAACTTCTGAGGGATATGACTCCAGGCCTGCCAAATCCTAGAAGATTGCCTATATTTGTCTCTTCTTCTCATAAGAAGAAACTGTCTAGTTTCTAGAAAAATATTTGTAGTTCCATCTTGATACCCATTAATTTAGATTTGGAAACCTCAATATTTTGAATAGAATAGAATAGAATAGAATAGAATAGAATAGAATAGAATAGAATAGAATAGAATAGAGCTTTTTTTGTCTTTTTTCCTTTTTTCTTTCCTTTTTTCCTTTACATTAGTCTCTGTTAGTTTGTATTTTCTTTTCAAAACTCTGATATGCAAAAATGTTTATTCCAGCATCTTTAACTTTAATGACCAGTACATGTCAGTCATCTCTATATCTACATGTAGTCCTCGGCTTACATCCACAATTGAGCCCTAAATTTATGTTGCTAAGTGAGAAATTTGCTACATGAGTTTTGATGACTTTTCTCACCACATCGGTTAAGTGAATCCATGCAGTTCTTAAATTGGTAACACGGTTGTTCCACACTGACTTTGCTTGGCAGGAGATTGCAAAGATTGCAAAAAACAAAACATGGCTCCAGGACATTGCAACTGTCATAAATATGAGTCAGTTGTCAAGCATTTGCATATAAATCATGTGACCATGGGGATGCTGCAATGATCATAAGTGTGTAAAATGGTCATAAGTCACTTTTTTCAATGCTGTTGTAACTTTGAATAGTCACTAAATAAACTGTTGTATAGTCTAGGACAGGGGTAGGCAACCTTGGCTCTTTTATGACTCGTGGACTTCAACTCCCAGAATTCCTGGACCAGCCTGGTTGGCTCAGGAATTCTGGGAGTTGAAGTCCACAAGTCATAAAAGAGCCAAGGTTGCCTACCCCTGGTCTAGGATTACCTGTATGTGCCTGTATACTGGCCTTAACAATTATAACAATAGATTACAAGAGAAGAAATCTTATTTCTTGATAAGCAAATGGATAAAAAAAAAAAACCCTGCCTTCAGAATTTTCCTTACATTTCCGTAAGGAAAAAAAAAACATTAGAAAGGTCAAACTTATTTTTTTCAACGAGAGCTGAATATGCACTAAAATCCAAACTAAGCATTCAGTTTGAAGGCAAAGGAAGAATTACAGTGCTCTCTTTTTTCCATTACCCCTACTCATTACTTTTGATAAGATTATATATAGGATGTGATTTTGGCCCAAATTGGACTGAATCAGGGAACAGAACACAGGAGTTTATGAAGGACATGCATCCCAATTAAGGCATCAGTGTAACAGCTGTTTCTATTCCTGATAATGGGCCGAATTTAAGCCATGAGCAAGAAAATAGCAGTTTACCCTACCCCAAACCCCTTACTACAGAACAGGCAATCTGTAATGCCTGATTTGTCTTCCTATGAATTGGAACATTGTCTAACCCCATAAAATGAACATGTAGGATTCATTCATACCATATTCATGCATGCTAACCAGGCAAGTATTAAATATGCATGTGATCATGACCACTAAACTTCATTGCAGATTAGCAAGAACAGAATAAGGGTACGATTGTACCATTCAGTACAGTTCATTTCCCCACAAGCATCTACCAACCCTCTTGGCAGGCAGACATTTGTGGAAGACTGTGACAAGGTGGAGAAACTGGCTATCAATAAGAACAGTAGCTCTGGAACTAATGTGATGTGCATAACACCAAGATCCTAAAGACACATTCCCTGAATCCAGTTGCACAATGAAACACATCGTGATATACTTGACATTCTTAGATGCCCTAAAACTACCTTCCATTTAAAAACAGAGGTTCTTTTTATAAATGTCAAATGCCTGACATTTTTGGACCTTTTTTTTTTTTAGCACTCATGTTATTTCAGTGCCCCGTCACTGATCTTTGAGTTTGCATTCTTTCTGGTCCTTTGCCCATTGGAGCTGCTTCGTCCTGTTAGTTATGGCAAGTCACAGATGTGGTAGATGATTTCCCAATCAATCAATCAATCAATCAATCAATTATATTTATTCAATCAATGACCAACAAAATTTAAAAGAACAAAAACAGAGTGAAGCAGATAAACACAATAATATACTAACAACTAACAAAATAAATCACATAATATAATATTCACTCCCCCATTACTGTGTTCTCAATATTACTTTCACGTGAGGGGATTTTGGATACTTGACAATCAAATCCCAGGGGATTACAACAGGCAGTTGTATGTATGAGCCCAAATATCTAGCGATCTAATTGGAACAAGTGAAGTGAGAAAAGCAGGGCACTGAAGTCAGAAGATGCACAGTAAATATTTTGGCAAAGTGAATTTGCAAGTGAATATTTGGTATTGTTTCTTCTGTTTTCTGAGAAAATACTGTACTGAAATGTGATAATCCAATTTCTTCTCCTTCCAGGATATTTGAAATGTACTTTGGTATTTGAAAACTATGGCCACCACATAATGTAAGGTTGCATGATTCTGCAACATAGTTTATTTTTTGATAGTTTGCTTTTGTGCCTTTCAGTCAGTGACTCCTGGAAACTATCTGGATGAGTCCCTATGGTTTTCTTGACATGATTTCAGAAGTGGTTTGCCATTGCCTTCTGCCAAGGGCTAAGAGAGAGGGACTGGCCCAAGATTACCCAGCAGGCTTTGTGCCTAAGGCAAGAATAGGACTTATGGTCTCCCGTTTCAATTTGATGCCTTAACCACTATACCAAAATGGCTCTTTTTATTTTTAAAACTGTCTGGGTCTCACAGGCTATTCTTCAGCTACTTTCATGGGGCTAGAAGACTTGGTGCCTACCTAGTCCAAAGTAACAGACTGAATATATATTATTTATACATCTGTCCCATAACCTTAGAGGGTCATCCTGTATCCCAAAATAATTAAAATATGTTAATAGGAGTGACAAAACAATTTTATAGGTAGATATATCTGAGTTCCCCAGAAATCTGAAGTTGGGAAGAAGCTCCTCAAACTATAAGTTGCTTGATATAGATCCAGACTGGAGGTCTGTGGGAATTCACACACTTACATCAGCAGGGGAGGGATAGTAAGAAAATGTTTTTAGCAATCAGCATACTGCAGCTATATTTCTACAATCAATTTGGTCTCTATTATGGTCAAAGATCAGCATAAGCAGAGTGAGATACAGTCAATGAAAAATGTTTTTGCAAAATTCATCTCGCATGTATTTCCTAGTTCTTGCTTTTGTTGTTCCCAAAGTCCACTTTCTGGTTATGGGATGTGTTTTGTTGGTGCCTGTTTTAATGTTTACCTCACTTTTGCAGATATTTAGAAGACTCTGAGCTGGCTGTAGAAGAAAAGAAATTCCCCTCTTGTTTTATAGCAAACTCTGCAAAACACACTGCACCAGAGACAGGCATGGCACTCGTGCCTAGAGAGATGAATACAGTCTTTTTCATTGTTTCCTAAACCTCCCCACTTTACAGCATAATTCAACATGCAGAAGAGACACATATAATCCTTTCACAGCAAATATGTTTGCTTCAATGCAGATTTAACTGTCAAAATGTCTTTTTCATACTGCATCTTCATATGCCTCTCCTTTATACCCTGCTGTTAGTTAATTAGGTTTATATACTGTGTTTCTTCCCAGAAGATGAGCATGGCATATATGGGAATGTCTCTTTGTTTTAAATCCACAACTCTGTAAAGTAGGTTGTGTTGAGGGGAGGTATTTTGCCACTCTGAGGGTGGATGTCTGAGGCTGGTGTTAAATCTGGTTCTGCAGTGCTAATGCAGCATCTTCACCATAACACCATTCTAGCTGTGGAAAAATGCAGGAGGAAAAATATAACTGAAGCATTTCCAGGACAAGGAAATCAAGAAAAAAATCATCCTGGCTATATCATATTTATGGTGATGGTCAGCAGTGATGCAGAGAAGCAAACTGAATTAGTTGGTTCTACTAGAGCAGTGTTTCTCTACCTTGGCAATCTGAAGATGCACGGACTTCAGCTCCCAGAATTCCCCAGCCAGTATGATGGCTGGCGAATTCTGTGAGTTGAAGTCCACACATTTTCAAGTCGCAAGATTGAGAAATTGCTGTACTGTGCTACAGCAATGGCTTCTTGCTTTCACCAGTTGTTGGCAGGTTGATGCCTTGAACAACTATAGATGGTTAGGGTGGGGGAATCCTTCACTAACTCATGTTCACAGCAGATGTGGCTGTTGTGCTGAAAGATAGTGTGTCTGTATATGCAAGGGAGATGAAAATGAAGACAACTGACAACATAAATCAGTCACTGCAGCTATACTTCCCACTTTGCAGCATATTTTTAAACAGAAGCTACTTAAAAATGGTAACCAGAATGACGCTTTGGAGCAGAATTCCCTTCT